CTTCGCATTCCTATCACGCATCAGTACTATCACTTCCAAACATGTTCCAAACATAGTACTTCGACAAACATGATGTCTCATTGAGATACAGTCGGTGAAGACACAGTAGTAAACGCGCTGCCCACTCATTTCCCACTGATTCTACTCGCAAACTATGACGATTATATATACAACCACGTACTACTAAAAGATTCACCAATCTCGCCCGCCCGGCCGTGTGGGTATATCACTCATCATTTCATAACAAAAACTAATATCTCTCATTTTAACCTATTTGACTTAGCTATGTCCGCTTCCAAGAAAGACCATAACTACTACTGCTGAGTAGTACGATTGACAAAAGCCTAGCAGTGTGATCACTCCAATAGTGTAGTATTACCATCAACGCCCCATTCATGGAGTGCCAAGTCGACATTGCCCACTGCATGCGCTAGATCCCAAATAGAGTACGCTCCTGCCCTACGACTAGCAGTAGTGATGGTCGCAACTAAAACGATATATCCAATATCAACCCAAAATAGAATACAAACCTACTATCAAAGTATTGACCCGAGTAGTACTGAACTCCACTTAGACACACTACCGCCAGAGAATTCTTATTCGCTTCAATTGCCGACAATATATCTTCCTGAATCGAATAATCATAAATGCACATCGTGAAACGCTTCGCTCCGCTGTGTTCCGTGAGGCAAGACGATACCAGTATAAAATGTATGTATTTTCTCACGTGTTGAGTCAAATGCGTACTAACTCTACCGATTGATATAACAATCATCGATCCAGCCAAGCTCATGAGAGTTGGCCGTTTGAACGTTTTAACGCACTTTTCAAACGAACGATTATGTCAGCACTCCCATCAAGACATGATGATTCCTTCACTTACCGTTCTCAATATTTCCTCGCCCTCTCTCGGAGCCAATTCGATCAACGCCTCGTCTCGCGTGAAGCCGTGCAGCTCCAACTGGGAAACAACTACATACATATACAAATCAGCGTTTCCGATGTGCTGTAAATCTGACACGTATAATGATCGCTCGGAAAACATCCTTTTTCACACATAATTTTATATCTCTCCTTGTTAGGTCGATAGAAGCGAACCTATTTCGGTGAATTCTTGATTAATACTATCAAAGAAATTACTCACCAAAAGCAGGTGTAGGTTGACCGTAACGCTGTTCATAATGGCAATTTCGCTAACATACTTGGCGCCCACTATAGCAGCCATCGTTGGTAGTATGTACCTACGTTGTGAAACAATACAGAACCTTCACTAAATCCTACTCTAATTATCATATCAATCTAGTAGTGAATATTATTCATTCATATGATATTGTGATAATCAATAAAAACACAGTACGTATTAGATACTAGAATGGAGTAACCTATCGCCATGTTGCCCTCCTGAACCCCAAATTTCTTCAGGAACACAAACCCCGTAGCACGACTTCGTACCGTACTCCTGCCAATTCGTAGTACATATAAAATATCAACATAATCTTATATCTATTATTTGATTCTATTGAAAGTCATAATCTCCAAACAATACCACCGTATCTCATTATTATACCGATTGAGTAATAAGTAGTCCGCATCGGTGGAGTTTCACAACCCGTTTTACGTGAAGTGGCGTCGTAAAACTCGGTGAAAAACACGATATTCGCGGTGATGCGCAGTAGTCGTAAAGTACGTTCACCAGTGTTTTTTGTATCACTAGGGTGGTGATATATGATATTGATGCACTTTTATATGCACTACTGGTTGTTATCAACGACTTATATATCAAGTAACATACTTATATTTATTTATACCACTCATTTCTCAATCTTTCCATAGAGCAAAATTACTCTCACCAAGCTAGTGATAGCCAGAATAGGAGTATGCCTACGATGCCAGCAGACCCGAAATTAGAGGCATGTACGAATACAACTTCGCATGTGTATTTGGACTTTATAAATATTGAAAATGCTCAAACATAAATATACGATATAAAAATATAAATTGATTATTAAAAATTATATAAATTGTTATAATCGTTATATAAATTGATTATATAATTACAATTTCAACATACCAAAAAGGCATCCATATTCATACTAACCTCAACAACATATATAAAAGTAAATCAGTTTCTCAATGAATGCTCTCATCGCGACCAACAGCGCACTACCGGTCCATGGTCATCCACGGTAGGTCTCCACTGAAGTGGCCTTCGAT